GAGTGTGAGATACAGCGTCACAGCAGTGTATGTCATACACACTATACCACTGCAATCAATATTCTTAGCATCGAACCAGCGACCCCAGGTTTGAACTACGCAGAGTATGAGATATAGCGCCGTAGTAGTGCTTTTCACGCACCCAAAGTTCCAAAGAGTCACATAAAGCTGATAAAAACATGTAGAATGAGTGTTACTGGCCCTGATCAGATGGGCCTGATCTGACTAGTTTAATGACCCTTGGKGTACGTGGGAAACAAATTTTCGTTGCGCTCAACCTGAGACGAGAATAAACAGCGGAAATGCTTTTTAATTACCGTTCCTAAATACACATCGTTATTATAAATACACCAATTAGGATTTCCTTTATTAAATAGTACATTTTAAGAATTTTACTTATTTAATTGTCATTTTTCCATTTCTTAATTTACCCACTTTTCTATTGTCCCTCTGGTAATTCGATCTCTTTTTGCGCAGGAGAATACTAATATAAGCAACATTTTAACTTCTTTACCTTTTTTCTAAATCACACCTTGCATTCTCTAAACAAGAACGTGTTTTCAATCTTGAATGATAAGCTAATAGCAAAGTCGTTTCGACTGATCGATTTCCCTTTATCTGCAGTACATTCTTGCAAGAACTAGAAAAATACGAAACTAACCCCGAAGATGTGGGAGAGGCTTTTATCGAATGGGTAAGTAAATTAAGAGATTTGAACTATCATCCTCTATGATTTCATGTATGATTAAGATCTATAAATAGACTAAATCATATAATCAAATGATGAATTTTAAATCATAAGTCGGTGCACTAAAAAAGCTTCCGTTCAGAGTTGAGAACTGAATGTCGTTTCCCTTCATTAAGGTGTATGTGCTTAATGATGTGGTCATAGCCTAGCAAACTAGTCTTCCGCAAAGATTAGATTTTTGATTGCATCAAAGTGTTTTACTTCCCTAGTCAAAAAATATTTTTCAGCCCAATGAATATATATTTCAATTTTATTGAGTAATTCTCTTTTTGCCAAAAAAGCGTGCATCTACCTATACCACTTAATACATGCAGGCATATAACGCCCTTCAGTTGTTTGTCTTGATTTCGCCGTGACCAATCAAAGCATATGGTATTAACTTCTGTTTATTTGTGGAAGTGAACATGTCGGCAAGGATGTCGTTGGTGGTGTATCATTCAAACTTTTTTTCTGTCGTTTTGATTGGCCGAGACAATTGCAAATCAAGAGTGTTATATATGTGTTTGTTTCATTTTCAAATTCGTACATTTCAGATTTGATCGATATATGTTTATTTTAGTTATTCTCAAATACTAAATACAGTGCTCGCACTAAACCCGTGAAACAAATACTAACTTTTAGTACTAAATAGTGTTAACTAAACAATAGAAAACAAAGTAGTCTGTATAAAATAGTACTAATTAGTACTAATTATTGTTCACGGGTTTAGTGCGTGCACTCTATAAGTCACTTATCTTATATGTAGTATTGCCTAGTCATATTTTCTCGATCGATGTGAAAAGCGTAACTACACTACCAAGCCCAAAGATATCCATCAAATGTTAATGAAACAGGACACTAGAATTTTCAAAAAAGTCAAAAAGCTCAAGGACCGGCATCCTTTAGACATTCCTCATTATGRGAATACTATCTATAATCTTAGATCTAGGCACATTTCCAAACGATTCTCTTTAACCCTTGTTCATTTGATTTTTCATCGCTATTGTCCTCTTTTATCACATTCGCGTAAATTCCAGTGTGCTGTATGAGCTGGTCAATCATGGTCAATGCTTTAAGGCTCCGTCCACACGTATCCGAAAATTTGTGTATTCGCCAATTTYTTTTTACGGATACGGGCTGCGTCCACACTTGTACGCAAATTTTTGTGTCCGAATCCGCAAATTTTCGAAAAGGGATACGTGTGGACGGTGAAAACGATTCGAATACGCTGCGTGTTGACGCGAACATTTTCGTATCCGCAAAAAATAATTTTCGGATACAAAAATTTCCGGATACGTGTGGACGGGGCCTAAAATTGCTTTCCGAAAACGTTTCCGAACTATGTAAATTAAGCAACCAAGAATTACAAGACTTTGTCACGCAGTATCTGGTTCTCTGCGCTTTAAAAACATATAGACACGGGATTTGCATATCAAGGTACTTGGACACGGATTTACGAACTCTTTACTGCTGTGGACATGCCACAAATTAAACAAATTGAGTAACGCGGTGCATAATTCACAGTAGTTTTTAGCTAGTCATATCTTTATAGTTCGGAAACATTTTCGGAAAGCAATTAATCCAAGTTAAGTCGACCTAATATTTTGAAATATCAAGTGGTACGATTTCTATACAATTTTTACCCAATATTCCAAAGTGATTTACCAACTTCTTTAGATAAATTTAGGAACTCAAAACAGAGAAAATAAACTATTTTTTCATAAAGTTACTAAGATGTTTTGTTTTTGAAATTTTTTTTATACTTTAAAACTTCAATATGAAATTTCTCGAAAATGCTCATACAGATTTTCTTCAAATTTTCTGTACCTTGAGCAAATTACTTATCCTCCAATATCTCAAAAGCAATTTAAAAACCTAGGTCAAAAAAWGGAGAAAATAGRCAATGAAGTAAACGCACCRACGCTTAACAGCGATCTTACATTAATTCCGATTTCAGTAAAAACATGCTCATTCGAAAATTTCATCTAACCTGCAAATAGCAAAGGCTAATCAAGGCAGGTTATTGTGATTACATATATACATAACATACACTTGATTGCAGAAAGGTTGTAGTATACATTTATACAAATACCTAATTTATTCAGTATATTTAATGATATGCAAAACAGAAAACTCGCTTTATTTATTATTTGTTTCATTCAATGAACGTTAAAATATTTTATTCTCGAGTTTTACATCCTACAGATTATAAATCAATTGGTTTTGAGGGTTAGAAAAGTAAAATTGCAATATGCATCTCATTAGGTATTTGTATAAATGTATAAATGTATACTACAACGTTTCTGCAATGGAGTGTACATATATATATAACTCTGGTTAAAGTCGTACTGCACGCAGKGTAATACTGTGTTGACGACTAAACGCATTTTTAACACATGAATATGATTAATATGATTAATATGATCAATATGATTAATGTTATGATTCATTTTTGACAGGGCGAAACGTTTGTCACAATGTACGTGGCCTACTGTAAAAACAAACCCTTTTCCAACTCACTGCTCATCGAACATGGAGGAAACTTTTTCTCGGTATGTAAGTTAATTCATATATTCCATATATTGGACCTTTTTCCGCTGGAGTCTTTARAAATTCTAAAGTGTTTACGGAAAAGTCGAAGAATTTGTTTTCCTTCTCTTATTTGCGTGGTACTTATTTTCTGATAGCTTAGACCCAGAGCAAACGTCGGACTAACGTCGCACCGAACCTATTTAACATAGATTCGGTGGAAGGYCGACTAAGGGCCTACGTGGCGGCAAACGTCGAACCAATGTTGATCTTAATTCACTCACCCATTGTTATTATAATTTTAATTGGACATGAAAATGCACGGGGGAACGCACGGACATTTGTTTGTCTTTTCTGGAATAATGCATATCCTTGCAATGGCGAAATATTGCGCTCGACCTCAATTAAAATGGGCATTTATATGGAATGCAGTACTACAAAACAGAAAACGGAGAATGGCATTGCACTCTGCACTTTTTGCCTGTTTTTCTTTCTTTTTTTTTTGTCACTCTCGCAGCATTCACCATGCGCAACGCTTTTGCCCGCCGTCCAGCCCGGCTTATCTTTGTTGCTCTCGAATACAGCACATTTATTGCAGGTCGGCATCTCACAAACCAGGCAAACATATTTGGTTTGGTCAAAACAAAAACTACAAGACACAAAAGTCTCGTCTCGTGGCAAAGATTTTCTAAACGCGGACATGTTCAGTTTGARTAGTTTTGAATTGATTTTCGTATCCAGAGCTCCTTGGTCTCGTTCATCACTCATCTGTGTATAGCGCATGCTCGCCAGGGGGGAATGAGTGTTTGGGAGGTGGGGGAGTGGTTCTTTTCACGGCTTTGATGTAAGTCATGCGACTTGCATGATTGATTTGCTATTTTGCATAATTTATGAATTTAGTTCGGCACGTGTTTGAAACGGCGTTTGCCGCAAAGTCGCTCCAGAGTCGTAATGTCCGACTTGGCTTGTCGAACTTATGCTGGACTCGAGCCTATTCAATAGGGTCGTTCTCTATTGCAGCAAACGTCGTACTAGGCTTGAGCCTATTTCAAATGTAATAGGTTCGACTAAATTAAGCTCATGGTTAGTTCGACGTTTGCCCTGGGCCTTAGGTTTCCCTTCCTTTACTACTATTATTTGTAGCTATTCTTCCACTCAGGTCATATATGCCACGATTTTTTGTGCCTTTAGGATTTACAAGCTTCCTACGGTCATGGACTCTCAATATCAGCCTACTTAATCAAACCAGTACAAAGGATTACTAAATATCAGCTCCTATTAAAGGTAAATTCGCGTTAGTCGTGAAGCTCAAAAATTCCACTTAGAAAACCTTTAATTACTTAAGAGCGAAATTGCGCCGTGTATCATCCCCTGAAAYTGGTTTCGCAACGCCATGGTAAGCAAGTTTTGCAGCTAAAAGTTTCAACGGGTAACAGGTAGAACTTTTATATATCGCACCGAAACACGACATTTTCTGCTTCATCTCGACCCGCGAAGAAAACGACAAAAAGAGACAGATTTGTTCAAGATGATCAGAATCGAGACAATTTGCAAAACAAAACTGATTTCCAGGCCACCAAGTAAAGAAAATCACGTTGCTATAAAGAGATAGCTGTAGCAATAGAKATGGCAATAGAAAAAGCAATTGCCCTATTTCATAATGACGTCACGGTTTGTTTACATCGGCTAACATGATAGAAATTTAGGTTAAATTTAAGCTTAATTTTATTCTTTCGAGATATTTAGGGTAATATTTAGTTGTTCTTGCCTTCGCCAGCTCATAAACCAAATTTCATTGTGATTTAAGATGTGTTGTTGTCATTCCRTCCCCCTCCAGCGACCATGATCCCTAGCGTTAAAACAATAGTTTGTTTTGATGTGACGTCATTATGAAATAGGGCAATAGAAATAGCAATAACTGAGTTGACTTTCAGAACGAACTCAAGGTCAACCAATCAGAATGGAGGATTCAGCACTGTATTTTGATTAGCATTTTCCATGATTCTGCCAACTAGACAATCCATGCAATATAAGTTCTTCGTTCTTTTCTTTAAATTGATTGTAAACGTTAGTTGAACTCACAGGCAGAATTCCATTTCAATATTGACAAGAGAAATCTACATTGTACTCGGTTCCTACTCCAAAAATGCTAACCAAAATCGTTGCCAAATTCGTAAGCACTAGGACTGGGAATGGTAATGGTAGTAGTAATAATGATTTTAATAATAATAGCAATAATGATAGTAAAAATAGTAGTAATGATTGTAGTAATGGTATAAATAACTGTTATAATAATAATAATTGTAATAATGATGATGATGAAGATGATGATGATGATGAAGAAGAAGAAGATGATGATAATATTTTTAATAATCAAATAAACTACGTACTAAGTAAATCTAGATAAATGCGCTTGTCTAAAAAGATATTTTTCATTCCTTTCTTAAAATTTCTTTCTTAATCCTGCTTTGTTTCCTTTTAGGATTTATTGACGTGTTGTGAAATATCAGAGAACAGCTTACAGGTGAAAAGTGTCTTTTTTTGTTTAAAATATTCCTTACTTCTATTAAATTTATTAAGCTGATCTTACCCATGGAGCCGTTTGATAGCATCTTCAGCCTTACACTGCTTGTTGCTTCTTGTTACTTGTCTTTCCTTCGTCTCGTGAGTGAACTTTTTTCATGTCCTCTCACGTTACGCTAAATTGACATGTACAATCAACTAATTTTCTATGTGATTTATTACTATTGCGTCAATGCATAGTTATTACAGGGCCGTAACCACAGGGGAGCACAGGGTGCATGTGCACCCACCCCCCAATAAAATCTTAAGGTCCGCTCATCTCTCTCAATTTGCTTTAAAATTGCATATCACTCCTCCATTATTTGCTTTTTTTTCCATTGCATTGGAATACTTTCAAGACGGCTGTTAGTTTCGACATAGTTCCATTTCCATTCCCTGTGCACCCACCCTGCAAGATCCCTGGTTACGCCCCTGTATTACGTAGTTACTAGAGTCAGCATAATCTGTAACTGGAGATTTTAATCGCTGATACAYGTATACAGCGCAGTACTCCACAAGCAATCGTGATTGGACATGGATGAATGGATTGATCTTTACTGACTTATTATTTGTAGGTCCAATGTTCATACTAACTAATTGTTGATGTCTTGTCTTTGATTTTAGTCTGGCCTTGATGTTATGCTGAGCGTACCTAGAAGAGCCAATGATGCAATGTATGTAAACATGTTACATGGGTTAGATGTAAGTATTTTATAGTCTTTCTAATAACTTAGCAGAAATTATCATTTAACAATATCTCAGTTTATAGTACACTCAACAAAATTACTCGACTCTGATTGGTCGAGAGGAGTACAATTA